TGTGTCTGTGCTCAAAACAGCTTCAACACTGCAAAGCGGCACGTATACATAGAAAACAGTTTCTGAATTACACTCTCTCAAATATCGCTTCTTTCTGAACCCAATTTAACGTTCGTCGGTGCCCCGTTGTTCAGGCTTGGGGCCACTCTAACCTCGGCCAGCGTGTTGCAACTCCTATTGAGCGCGAGTGTATACGTGTATACACGCACGAAGATGCATAAGAAGGACTTGAAAACCCTCGCGAAATAAATTTCTGGCTATGCGTCCCTGCTTAGCAGATACGCGGACTTATAGACGTCAGACGCTGCCCAGGCGGCGCTGCAAAAGACACCGCCACCAGCGTCCCCATCGACATAAATGGGTAGTGCAAAGCGAGCCGACCACAAGCGAACGTTCATAGGCCCTCCTCTTTCGTTGGTCTTGAGGCGCGGTTTTCCTGGAAATCAAGGACCTGGCAAGCTTCTTACTCCAATCCAACCTCGCTTCAGAACAGTAGGAAGCTCATCAAAACGAACTGCGGGTACAATGCCAAAGATGTTTTAGTTATTTCGGCGTACTGCAAGTGGAACTTTCAGTGCAAGCGAGCATCGCATGACATCGATTACAGGCAAGCACTCCGACGTTCGTTCTGTAACGCCTAAATGCGTTAAACTTGGGCATATACACACTAGGCCAAAACACGAATGACATCGGCGGTTCGGGAACGCGTCTGACTAGCGGAGAGAAATTCGTAACTCCTTTTCTAAGTGTTCATTGCGCAAATACGCCTAACATTTAGTTCAATCGCTGTTTCGTACGCTGTAGTTGCACCTGGTTGCGCAGCAAACTGGGCAAGGGCTTTACACTACTAAGTAAGTAAGTAAGTAAGTAGGTGCTCCTAATCCCTTTTGGCACAGGGCAGGCGCCAGCAGCGCCACAGGACAAAGTTGTGCGCTTCAACGCACATCCATACACACGCACACACACATCACCAGTCAGGCGCTTGCCGCGCCACCGTCAAAAAAAAAAAAAAAAAAAAAAAAAAAAAAACATTTTGTGTTTTACACGCACTTCACGCGAACACGCACTCACACGTTTTCCACTTTACTGTTCGAAGAAAGAAAGGTCTGGTAGTAAATTGCCAGTTTCGCCACCAGGGGAAACGTGCCCTCGGCCAAGTCTATCCAGTGGCGTCGGCGTCGTTTAGATATTTTCTGTCGGCCCTTCGTTGCGCTGGACACTGTCGGGGTGTTTGTCCACCTGCCAGCACAGTCTGTCCCAGAGTTTTAGACGTCGCTTGGCACTCTCGGTGTGTTCGACTCGGGTGTCGACGGGATCATCTGGGAGACCCAGATATTCCGCCAGGTTTATCTTGGGTAGGTCCCTCGCTCCGAGTCGCGGGCAATCCATCAGGATATGTTGGATGGTTTCTTCCGTGGCCCCGCCTAGGCGGCACGACGGGTCCGTGTCGAACAGTTCCCAATGCCGCTTCCGCGTGGGCAGTGACCCCGTCCTGGCTTGGAACAGGAGGGCGCTTTCCCGGTCGCCCCTGTAAAATGGCTCACGGTCTGGAGCCTGCTTGTATTCGAGGTATAACTGTAGGCTCCTTTTCTTTGCCGCCGACGTGCGCCACATCTCTGTGCTGGCTTCGGTTATAGTGTTTTTTGTTATTATACGCCATTCTCGTTCCGATTTTGCTTCTTCCAGTTTTGTGTTATGGCCGAATTTATTTTCCAGAGAAGCCAGTCGTTTCATCCACTGTGTTTTTATGCCCCTGTATCGAAGGTGTAGGTATATGCGCTGGCTGTAATTTGTTTCTGGTAGAAACTTTAGCCGGCCCGCATATTGTATTTTTGACCTTGCTTCGCGTGCTTCGAAAGTTGACCAGGCCAACTCCCCTGTTACTGCTGCGTTTGCTGTTGCAAAGCTGCCTCCCAGTAGCCAGCGCCCCAGTTCATTTTGGTGGCGGTCCAAACATCGCACTGTTTGGGTAGAGTACGCCAATGTGTCACCTGCGTAGGTTATTGCAGGCACGGCAAGAGTCTTCCAAAGTGTGCGGCCTACCCTGTAGGGGTTGTAGGAATGCCGTGACAGGTGCCACACCCTACCTTTTAGGCGGTTGGATTGTTTTAGGAGTAATTCTTGGTCGCACACTTTGGAAGACTCTTGCCGTGCCTGCAATAACCTACGCAGGTGACACATTGGCGTACTCTACCCAAACAGTGCGATGTTTGGACCGCCACCAAAATGAACTGGGGCGCTGGCTACTGGGAGGCAGCTTTGCAACAGCAAACGCAGCAGTAACAGGGGAGTTGGCCTGGTCAACTTTCGAAGCACGCGAAGCAAGGTCAAAAATACAATATGCGGGCCGGCTAAAGTTTCTACCAGAAACAAATTACAGCCAGCGCATATACCTACACCTTCGATACAGGGGCATAAAAACACAGTGGATGAAACGACTGGCTTCTCTGGAAAATAAATTCGGCCATAACACAAAACTGGAAGAAGCAAAATCGGAACGAGAATGGCGTATAATAACAAAAAACACTATAACCGAAGCCAGCACAGAGATGTGGCGCACGTCGGCGGCAAAGAAAAGGAGCCTACAGTTATACCTCGAATACAAGCAGGCTCCAGACCGTGAGCCATTTTACAGGGGCGACCGGGAAAGCGCCCTCCTGTTCCAAGCCAGGACGGGGTCACTGCCCACGCGGAAGCGGCATTGGGAACTGTTCGACACGGACCCGTCGTGCCGCCTATGCGGGGCCACGGAAGAAACCATCCAACATATCCTGATGGATTGCCCGCGACTCGGAGCGAGGGACCTACCCAAGATAAACCTGGCGGAATATCTGGGTCTCCCAGATGATCCCGTCGACACCCGAGTCGAACACACCGAGAGTGCCAAGCGACGTCTAAAACTCTGGGACAGACTGTGCTGGCAGGTGGACAAACACCCCGACAGTGTCCAGCGCAACGAAGGGCCGACAGAAAATATCTAAACGACGCCGACGCCACTGGATAGACTTGGCCGAGGGCACGTTTCCCCTGGTGGCGAAACTGGCAATTTACTACCAGACCTTTCTTTCTTCGAACAGTAAAGTGGAAAACGTGTGAGTGCGTGTTCGCGTGAAGTGCGTGTAAAACACAAAATGTTTTTTTTTTTTTTTTTTTTTTTTGACGGTGGCGCGGCAAGCGCCTGACTGGTGATGTGTGTGTGCGTGTGTATGGATGTGCGTTGAAGCGCACAACTTTGTCCTGTGGCGCTGCTGGCGCCTGCCCTGTGCCAAAAGGGATTAGGAGCACCTACTTACTTACTTACTTACTAGTAACTTGCTTGCCTGCCCACACTTCACATTTTGTCTTTCGTTGCTTGACAAGCTTGCCGTTGGGTGGCCCTACATCTCTGTACCCAAGGTTGTTTCCACTTGAAGGACGCGAAATGTTACCCGCATGCGCCGTGGATGCGCGGGCGTGCCATGTAACTACACATGGCAGCAAATCATAAGTAACTGAACATAACAGCAGATCTTCTCAAGACCCCACCCCTCGACAAAAATAAAAACGATGAAGCCCAGTAGCAGACACACGCAGGTCATACAATAGAACACGTAGCACTGCGACGTTCGTTAAATCTGCTGTACTTTTTTTTCCCCTTTACCATCAAGGCACATCAGCTGATTTCGGTAATATCAATGACCATCGCTGACGTACGTTAGTCAGGGTATCTTTTAGCACCATTGAAAAAATTTATTATTTGTGAAATGCGATGTATTGCACTAGCATTCTTGGTATCCTGTGGCGATATGAATTGTCAGTCTGAAACTGCTCGTATTCGCGCGCACATCAAACAAAGAACACGTCCCTCTGGAATTGTTTCACGTACTGCATCATGTTTTCTATACAGTTGTAATGCAGATAATTCGTGAGGGCATACCTGCTATTGAAGCGCTTGACATATTGTGTTGTTATCGTTATCCCAATATACCGAGAGGTAGGTACTCATGATGGAAAGAAAGGCAGTTCCAGTGGGACTGAAGCATCTGGTTTGCTACCCTGCAGGGGAAGGGGAAGGAAAGATGCCGAGAAGCAGGGTAATGGTGGTTACTGCATGGAAAACGGCCAATTATCTGTAAAGTGTGCAGATGACTGCGGCTCAGGATGTGCGACGAATTGATTGACTCATTTGAACGATAAGTCGGCCTTTGTATTCACTGATGAAATTGAATATTCATCCTTGGTATCTGGCATATAAGGGAACAACCCGCAGAACAGTGACCTTACTTTGCTTGTGACCCTATGCAACTGATAAAAAGATATAGTATGGCCTGTGACAGGACAGCTTTCTGAATTTTTCATATGTCGTGTTCGATAGCACCTTCGGCACTACACGATGCATCAAAATGAATGCGGAGAGCAACGATCGCGATCATAGGGGTAGTCCGATTTTTTTTTTTTGGGGGGGGGGGGGGGGAGAGTTAAAGCGGCACCTCCTAAAATGGTAATTTTTCTCTATTTTATGTCATGGCGAAAAAAAAAGTTCAGGAGAAGGGGAAGACGGCTTGAAGTGCCACATCCTGGCTACGCTTCTCGTCGTGGTAATCAAGATAGGTCATCATTTTCACGAAATCATACAGAAGGCACATTATTAAATTTCCTTGATTAACTTTTTTTTCAATGTTAACGCCGCATGAGCTTTGGCTGCATGAGCTTTGGCTGCATGGGTCACACTGTTTACACAACCTGTCCGCCATACAAGCTGTGCTACGATTGCAGCAAGAAGTCTTCAAGGTTCGTGGTCACTGTGCTCGCAGTAAATGGCCAAGAATCGTCGAAGCCTTATTAAAAAAAAAAAACGCCTCAGCGAGCCAGCGGCGGTTGCAAATCGTGCACGGGACGCCTGGTTCGCGCAACTCTGGACCACGCCACGCGGGTGCAGGGACGCAAGAGCGTGCATTGCGAGCGAAAGGCACGCGGTGGAGAGGGTGTCCTTTAACAGATGGGAGGGTGGCGAGGGAAAGCAGGGGGGTGGTTGGAAGCTGTTCGTTCGAACGCGCTTTTGAACTCCCCCCGTGTCTGTGTGTTCCCGCTCCGGCGTCGTCTCTTTTGTCTGCCCCACCGCGCACCGCCTGACAATCGGTCGAACCCCACACACTGAACCAGGCCCTCTGGAGGAGAACGGCACCGGACGACCTGTCCTGCACGTCGCCATCGCACCCACCGACTGGGCTTCCGCCAACAGTCGAAGCCGGCCGGTTTGCTGATCCCGAAAATCACCGCTGAAAACAGAATGCGCGGGAGTGCGTGTTGGCGTACAATGCGCAAGGTGGCTCCGATTCATTGAATGAATGGGACTAAGTTTTGCCGCACAGTCCAGGAGCGTCGACAGGGAAAGCACGTGTGTTCCCGCTGACCGAGTTCAACGGGCCCTGTCATTCACAATCGTGGACTGACCGTCATTTGGCGACGTCGAAAAGCGCGGGACATTGAGCACCGGAAAGGTGGGTGTTTGTTGCACGATTGTATACGTACAGAACGGATCGCTTTATTCTGCAGCGCTGTTGCTAAAGTTTTAAGGGAAAAAAAAGAAGCAAGTAAAATAAAAGGAACCTAGACAGCATCTGACGGGCTCAATGTTCTGTGCCCTCTTTCATGCGATGCTCATGCAGCTGCGTCAGTTCTGGTTCTCCAACGCAGAAAGAACGATCAGGTACTTCAATGTGCCTAAGCTTCGCTAGATATATATTTTTTTTTACCAATCCACTGTACCAATTCACAAGAAATTATATGGGAACAATATGCGACGCCTACAATACGACACGATCGGTTTCTAAAACTTAGTGCGGTGTCAAATTATGTAAGTTTGTAATACTCGTGTCCCTATCCTTGTGCAAATGCACAGTGCTCGAGCGTTAAGAACAAGAGTGACGCCCTCTGCGTCTTCTTTGACCCTGTCCTATCGATTAAATATACATGAAAGGATGAATGAGGCAACAATGTAAACCGTGTATTACCTAACAATCTCCTTATAAATTCTTTGTCAACCACACCTAACAGAAATGGGTGGCTTCGCTCTCGACTGCTTGAGCTGCCAAAAGAGTGCATCTGCAGTAAGCACCCACATAAACAGTCTAATACTTCGGTTCGTGTGATGTTTAAATCAAGGGCAAGTTTATTGCATCCGCAATAAATTCACAGTCGCAACGTGAATTATAATGCGAATTCTCATTGGCATTGCTCTTCCCGCCAGATGGTAATGAATTCGATGATTTACAGCGAAGTCATGTCATGTACCGGGATTTCCTCGCGTTCGTGGACGATAGAAAACCCTTCCTCGAACACTGAAGTTCGATTGATGTGGCGCATGCAAGATTAAATGATTTTGAATTGTTTAAGTTCATTTACATGTTTAGACAATTATAAAATAAAAGTTGCGAATCTCGGATGAAGTTTAAAACGAAACTGCACGTGTCCCGAGCAACGGATGACACCGAACGCTTTGTCATTTTCGCTAGAAATAACGTGTACTATAGTGCGCGTCACCTTCATTCAGCACTGATCTAAGTGTGATTGGAAGCACGACAAACTAACTCTTGATGATATGCGTGCACTCAGGAAAAGGGGGGGAACAATTGTTCATAGCGGGAGGGGCGCTCATTCTGCCCTATACGTTTACACAGTAGAACCTCTCGCGTACTTTTCTTTCATTCGCACGTTTATAGCTACGCGTGTTTGTTTTTTTTTTTTGTCGATAATGGCAATCCACGCAATCGAAGATCTGTTTACCGGTTCCCTTCATCCCGAGAGACTACAGGCAGGCATTTGTAACGGTTATACTGCCGCCCAGATCTTTAACTGTAGCATGCGCAGCGACACCTTTTCGGTCTGTCAGCGCCATATGATGGAACGAAGTTGCAAAAAGTTATAATAATATCCTTGATTTAACCTCTCAAAACCACGATATGATTATGAGAAACGCCGTAGTGGAGAACTCCTAAAATTTCGACCACCTGGGGCTTTTTAACGTGAACCTATATTTAGTTGCAAAATATTGCCAGTCTGCTTTGTAGGCATGCACTTCCTCACCCTTTTTGGAACTTGATTAGGCCAAATCGTGAAGATACAAAGAAAAAAACTGCCACTCGTGCATGATAAAGATGTGGGCGACTGTACGTCATTGCTCCATTCTCCTTTTTTCCTCCATTGAGGAGCCCCTCTTATTTCATACTTGGTGAGGGGGGGCTGCAGTGATTGTTATCACGTCTCCACTGTCTCCACTCATGTCGCAAACAGTTTTGAGAAAATCTACTTATCTGTGTGTGTTTTTAAGAGGCTACATGACTGTCTTATGATCCCAAGCCTCTTGATTGGAATACCGATGGGCGATTTAGCTTTCGTCTTTAGAGCCCGTTTGCTCAGATTTGGGTGCACGTTGAAGAGCCCCAGGTGGTCGAAATTTTCGGAGCCCTCTACTCATATGGTCGTTTTGGGATGTTAATCCCTCCGTATCAACCAAGCTTTCGTTTATAGCCTTAATCATATAACCGTACAAATTTTTGCCTCGGGCTTAAGTTCACATAGATTTACTCCGCATTATGCGCACTATAGTGTGAGGGTGGGTCTTCATGAAGTTTCTGTAATGAATTAGGCCTCCTGTTACTCGATATAAAAGGCTCGTGACCTAGCGAACTGAACTTAGTAGCATAAATCAGTCATCATTTAATCAATTACAAGTAAAATGTAAGCTCGGGGACTTTCGAGAAAGAAACAGGGCCACACGGCTGTTTATCGTACCCATAAAAGCCAAGGCCACTACAAAACAAAGCAATCGCATAACCCGAACTGCGAGAACAAAGAAACCTACACAAGTGTGTAATATCAGTCAATAGTCAGCCACAAATATGGACGGTCGAGATTTAAATAATGTCGTTCTGGTAGTAATGGTACAATCGTTATTAATCACAACACAACTTCATTCAGTGGCTGCCACTGAAATATATTATACGTCTACCACGCTCATAAAAAGTTAAAAACAACGAATGTCACTATAGAAGCAGAAGGAAACAAATATTATTGTTTCTACCAAGTTCGTTCGCTTCCGCCTCATTTTTTCCTCCCGGCGCCCGCTGGCCTAAGCGCCATTTACGTCACTAGCCAAGGCACACGGCAGAGGGGAAATTATTTCCTTATGTTTCCTGTTCGAGAACCATAGCGGTCGCAACACACTCTAGATCGCGAGTAACTTCGCAGTAGGTGTGAGTGAGATCAACTTTCAATACGCCTCGACCACCCGCCGTTGTTTGGCGGTCGTGGCTGCATGAGGTGTTGCGCTCTAAAGTATACGAGAGTGCTCAGCTGACCCGCAGGTCGCGGTATTGAATACCGGCCGCATTTTCAATGGAGGTTAAAATGCTGAAGTCCCGTGTAACTAGATTTAGGTGTACGTTAAACACTTCCAGCGGGAAAGAACTCATATCGTGGTATTGGTACGCCAACAAATAATTAAAGTGTGAAAGCGCAAATTCAATTTCCAGCCATGGAGGTAGCACTGGAAAACACACTAGTGCTTAGATATAAATTCACCTCAAAGTACCCTAGCTGCAGAGGCGTAGCCAGAAGTTTTTTTTTTTTTCCTTCTTGAGCCGTGTGAGGTTTAACTCCGCCTTTTTGGGTGTGCCTCTCTCTCCTCCTATGTATTTTTCTTTCTCTGTATTTATATTTTTGTGTGATCAAAACAACTCCACCCCCCCTCCCCGTTGTGACGTGCTTCGTGGTTATATCGGAGTTGTCGAACTTTCAAACACGCAATTCTTTTATTTATGCTTCACGCGACCTCGATCCGTCCCTTGATACGCAAGCTTATCGCGCAGGTACACGGGGAAAGACGTATGGTCGCCTGCACGTACCTGCAGTGCTTGCTATGCGAGATCTTCGCAAAGCTTTCACGTGACTGTGATGCAAATGTAACCACTGCACTTTGGTGTATGCTGATGACTTGTTCAACCGCACTCGCTGTACATAACAACAGTATCTGAGAGGCTGGGCGTTGGTTTGCAAGTACATAACTGCACTGCATTGGCACGAACCGTCTCTTTCGATACATTTATTAAAAAAATAACTGCATTGTTTCTTTATACGCAATGGACCGCTACGAATCCCTTGTTTCAGCTTCTCTAGCTAACCGTGACTCGAGCCCTTGAAACCGAGACAAAAAACGTATATATAATAAAACTGACACGTCCTTCGACAGTTCTGGCGGGCATGTCAGGTTTTGAACGTTGACACTGTTGGTGACAGGGCGTACCAGCAATGCTCCCGCTGCTGTTCCCCGTTTTGTTTTTCCGGTGATGCCCCACGTGTAGGGCAGCCAACCGAGCTCGTGCTTGGATAAGCTCCCTGCTGTTTCCCTTCGTTTCTCTCACTCTGAAATACAAAGAGTAGTTAGCGATTGTTACATTGATACGCGTGGCTTGTTGCTAACTATCGGTCTATTGCGTCAACATTCTTTGCTAGGTTGGGCGTGAAGGGTTTATACGTGATGCGAATAATAATTTTTTTTGTTACACTTATTTGTGCGTTAAAACGGGTTTGTGTGCAGTTTCACAGCAGTTTAACTAAGGTCTAGTGGCTAAGGTACTCGGCTGCTGACCCGCAGGTCGCGGGTTCGATTCCCGGCTGCGGCGGCTGCATTTCCGATGGAGGCGGAAATGTTGTAGGCTCGTGTGCTCGGATTTGGGCGCACGTTAAAGAACCCAAGGTGGTCGAAATTTCCGGAGCCATCCACTACGGCGTCTCTCATAATATGGTGGTTTTGAGACGTTAAACCCCACAAATCAATCAAATCAATCAAATCAATCAAGCAGTTTAACGAAGAAGAAATCGAAACGTTTTGTTTTTCCCTTTCTTTCCTGTGTAGAGAAAAATCATGGAAATACACACAAATTGAGAGAAAACGTGTAGTGGCTACTTATTACACAGCCCAGGATAAGTGCAATTCTGAGGCGTTGGCAATTTTTCTTGCCCTGAAAGTGGCGCATTGCATTCATTTTTTGTTTTATTAGTTAATAGCCCCTGATCACAGCTGAAAAGGGGAATCGGAATTGGGGTTTTTATCTGGCTGGTGAAATATAAAACCGTCTAAAATAAAGGCATCAGAGCATAGCTTCAACGTACCACTCGTTCAAAACATTTCATGAACAATAATTTTTCTGATGAGTCGTAAATTAATATTACGAAAACTCGAATAAGGTTGTCTACTACTACAGTAGTAGTAGACGTCTGTTATTATTTTTTTTTCTTCAAATTATCACGTTAGAGCTAAGCCCTGACTACACGTACGCTTTACAGCGCGTCACAGCGTGGCGTGTAGACTCGGCGTCGTGTCGCATTACCGCGGAGGAAGAGGTCGCGCTGAGGGAGAGGACACGCCATGCGCTGACGCGTTGTGACGCGTAAGCGTAGGTCGCATTGCGTTTCGCTCACAGTGACACGCAAGCCAAAA